AAGGCAGCTTTGTCTCAGAGGTGGGATACTAGCTGCCTTCTGTGCAAACACGAACCTGCCAGGAGCTGGGCGGGGCTGTGGGGGGAGAGCCGAGGGCCAGAGGAGGGCAGTCAGGCAACCGCCCTGTGATGCAGGCCCCTGGCAGACCGCGGGGCCTGGAGATGCTGCTGGTCACCTCATGCAGCTTCCCCCATCGGCTGCAGGGCTGGGCCAGCTGGGAGCTTCGGGACATCCTGAAGCCACCTGTCTGCTCTGAAGGAGCAGTGAGTGGGGGCGAAGACAAGCCTGGGGTCCCAGCACAGGCCACACTCTGGCCCCGCAGGCCCCTGCCTGCTCCCAGGCTTCTGTTCTAAAGCCTCCACCCACAGCTTCAGGAGGCTGGGCCTGGGCCAGGCCCCAGGGTGCTTCCTGTGGGAGCCTCCAACTTCGTCCCTCCTGTGGGAACCTCAGGAGGCCCCAATGGAAAGTCAGCTGCTCTCTGGCCTCAGCCTCCTGAGCCCAGGGCAGGGCGCTCAGGAGGGAAGCAGCAGAGGGGCCCTCATGGGGCGGGGCAGAGACAACCGGCCGTGCAGGGTCCATTCTGGGCTGAAATCCTACCTGGCAACTCCCATCTGTGTAATTTGAGCACCCACTAAGTGCCCCCCCCCGAGATAATCACCACCATTTGGCTGCTGAGGAAACCAAGGCAGAGGGTAAGTGACGTGCCCAAGGTCACATAGCTAGTTAATGGCAGGTCCTATAGCCTTCACTACACATGCCTCGGAAAGCACCCTCCACAGAGCCCCCCACACTGTCTACTGCACAGCGCCCAGGGGGTTAGAGACGCGGGAGGAGACGCACGCCTTCAGCACACCGACACGTGATAACGAGTCACAGAAGCAGATCTGGGCAGGATGGAAGGTCTGACCATCTTTGAGAGGAACTGGGTGTCCCTTCTTTGGAATGTTCTAGGCGCACACTAAGGGGCATGGAGAGGGCGTGGCTGCTGCGAGGAACAGCTGGGAGACTGGAACCTGGTGGAAGCCTGCTTGGGGGCTCTGCAAACGGGCCAGGAACTCCAAACCCCCAGACCAGGCCCAGGAGCTGCAGGTGATTTTGGGAAATAGAACTTCTCATCAGCAGGGGAGCGCTGGGGGCTGCCAGACACAGGCCTGTGGAGGACCCTGGCCCTGCCTCCCGGTGGGGGGGGAAGCCAGAGCCACTGCAGGATCTCTGCTGACAGCACCCCGGGTGGGGCCCAGGCTGGGTGATGGCTGTGGGCTGGTGTGAACAAAGGCACCCAGGGGCCTCAGTGTGAGCAGCTGGCCCACGGTCCTTGTCACCCGCTCCTGGACTCTCAAATAACCCCCAGCACAGGGTCGCGGATCTTCCTCCAGAGCCACAAGCCCAGGAACTAGGCCCAATTCCAACACCTCAGCCCCTTCCCACGAGGGGACCCCCACGCAGCTCCCCAGAATTCTTAGCCAGAAAACTCTTGAAGCAAAGGGGCTGGAGGACTTGGCTTAAGGGCTGTGGGAGTGATGAGGGGCTGGCGCCCCATGCCCAGAAGGCCCCCGGGGAAGCAGAGAGAGGCGCTGGGCTGCCTCCCACTGGGGGGCCTGTTACCCCATCTGTGAAATGAGAGCAGCTCTCCCAGCATCCTTCCTGCGATAGGCCAGCCTGAGATTCCAGGGCTCCTCAGGACATGGGTTGGTGGCCGAGGTCTGACATGGCCCAGGATGCCAGCGCGCTGCCGGGAGGGAGGAGTCGAGAGGGGGCGTTGCCTGGCTTGCCCAGCCTGCTGCCCTGGCTGGCGGCCAGTCTCTGGTGGACTGGAACCCCACTTCCTCTCGGCCTCATCCTTGTTCTTGTTCCCCTGCTGGCCCAGGTCTGCTGCCCCTGCTCAGAACCAAATGACCCAGGGGCCCTGGCTGAGCCTCACCTTTTGCAGGTGAACAGACCGAGGCCCAGAGAAGCCCGGGGCGTCTAGAGACCCGGGGACTAAGCCTCAGTGGGCGCTCAGGTCGGCCTGGGACCAGGGCTCTGACCACGCGAACCACAAAACCCGGCCGCTGAGGTCCCGGGCTCGACCGGTCCTCCACCCCCTCAGATGCCAGTGGGACGGGGTCCGCGGCACCCGCGGGGTCTCTCCATCTTTCCTCCCCAGAGGGTCTGCGCCCCCGCCCCTGGGGCCGCTTCTCCATGTGGGAGGCCCCTGACCGCTGACAGGCCCACTGGGGGCTGCCTGGGCCGCGACATTGGAGCGGGATCTTGGCCACAAGAGTTCACCGCACCCAGTGGGACTCGGTGCGCCCACCCGGGAGGGGGCGTCGGCAGCAGACGTCGGGGCTCCGCACACGCTCGCGTCCAGGTCCCTTCCCGACCTCGGCGGCGCCCCCGGACCGCCCCACAGCCCCGGCGCCCCCCGACCGCCCCGCAGTCCCGGCGCCGCCCGACCGCCCCGCAGCCTCCGCGCCCCCCGCCCGCCCCGCAGCCCCGGAGCCGCGCTCCACTTGCCTGTGGCCGTCCGGGTGCTCAACCTCGGCCGCTCGGAGCCCCCTCCCGGGACGAGGAGCCGGCCAACCACCGCCACTGCCCCACCAGGACCTGACTCCTCCTTCCCCGACTGTGTAAAGGGAAGTAACCTGACCCGACCACCGCTCCTCCGGGGTTAACTCCTTAGGCCGCCCGACCAAAGCGCCGCCCGATTCCCCGCGCCTGCCCGCCCGCAGCCTCCCCGGAGCCCCCCGGGGTGGGGGTGGAGGTGGGGGTACCTGGGCTCCTGCTCCCCTGTGGCCCCTGAGCCCCGCTGTGGCTGCAGCCCCAGGGCTCCGGTCCCCCACATCTGGACAGCTTCTGCCACTGGGGGAGGCGCACAGAACCTCGCCCTTCGAGTTGAGGGGAGAGCCCGGTTCACCCAGAAAAAGAAACCACGCATCCTCCGGTTAACTGAATAATCTCTCCAGGGGACATAATTTACCTTTCGGGATACCTGGGGCTCAGCATTAAAAAGGTAGACGTGCGGCAGGACCGAGTGAAAAACAGACCCGAGCTAGAGGTTTGTGCCTCTCATGCGGATCCTGCTTCCAGAGGCCGCGCCCCGGGACAAGGACTCCTCCGCTCTGGGCCCCTGTTTTGCGCAGTGCTGGATCCTGTTTGTGGTCGTCTCCTAGGCTGCCGTGAGGAGCTAACACAAATTGAAACCCTGCACATTTATCCTCGTGCAGCTTTGTCAGTCAGGTCCAGAACGGGTCTCACTGGGCTCAAGTCAAGCACGTCCCCAGGCTTCCTGCTGGACGCTCTGCGGAGCATCCTTTCTTTGCCTTTTCCAGCTTCCAGAGGCAGCCCACACTCCTGGGCTTGTGGCCCCACCGTTTTCAAAGCCGGCGCGGCCCATGCAGTCTCTCTGACTTTGTATCACTCCGACGGAACCCTTCTTCTGCCTCCTGCTTCTGCTTTTTTTTGTTGTTGTTAGAATTTTTTTTTTTTTTTTTTTTTTTAGGATTTTATTTTTTCCTTTTTCTCCCCAAAGCCCCCCGGTACATAGTTGTATATTTCTCGTTGTGGGTTCTTCTAGCTGTGGTATGTGGGACGCTGCCTCAGCGTGTTTGATGAGCAGTGCCATGTCCGCGCCCAGGATTCGAACCAACGAAACACTGGGCCGCCTGCAGCAGAGCGCGCGAACTTAACCACTCGGCCACGGGGCCAGCCCTCCTGCTTCTGCTTTAAAGAATCTTTCTGATTACATAGTGTCTATTCAGATAGTCCAAGATAATCTCCCTATTTTAGGGTTTAAAATGAACAATTTTGATTCCATCGGCAACTTTAATTCCCCTTTGCCACACAGCCTAACAGAGTCTCAGATTCTGCGGATTCAGGTGACAAATAAAA